TTAAAATTTATTATTTATACAGTATATATATTCATGTGCTTTCTGCCATTTTATAGGTTTCGGATCACCTGATCGTATAGGCAATCATTGCGTACATTAGGTTAGTGAAGACTAAAAAAAATTTTATTTTATTAGAATTTTTATCTTTGATGCATGAACTCTTGTGTGATATACTTGCCCTCTGTGAGCCAAAGAACAACGAGCACCCTAACATATTAAAACAAATTATATTAAAATGAATAGGGCGTTAAAAGTCACTTAAGTGTTATTGAAAATTGCGCCTTACGGATCTAATAAGAAGAAATATATTTTATTTCTTCTTTCTTTTTGGAAAGACAAAATAGAATATATGACTATAATAGTTTAAAGAAAAAAATAATTTTAGTATTATTATAAAAGTTAACAAGATTCTTGATTACCTACCGAGAGCAAAAAAAGTGGCCAAGATAACTATAAAGACCCATGCCTTGAATCCTTCATCCACCTCAAATGCATCCATTTGATATGTTACATTTTTAAAGGTACCGTTTAGATTGCCATCTGGGTAGAACCGATAATCATTAGAATTCAAAAATCCGATTAAATTGTTAAGGTTTTTCATGACTGAGTTTGAGAGGTCTACTCCGACCGGGACAATTAATAGAAACGCGTTGTTAATAGCATTGTAAGTTATTATTTGAATGATCTCTGAAAAGTAGACGACATGAATCAGTAAAAGTTGTAATAATAAAAGTAAATACTGAGAACCAACATTTAAAAATAGTATACGTAATCGCAAAAAAAAAAAAAAAAGAACGCGAAATACTGACCTAATTGGAGGATTATAAAAACGAGAATCGATTGTACAATTCTTGCAAGTGATAAAATGCTGCAGAGTGAAGAAGAAGCCATTGTTAACTTTTCTTAGGCAAGCTAATTAAAAAGCAAAATCAGAGCTCTTGGTACTTATATAAAATGACGGAGTTTTTCATACTTATGCTCCGGACAACAAACTTGTTACTTTCTAGTTCATGTTATCAAACGAAGCATGAATGTAAATGAGATTGCATCTTTGTCGTTATTAAATTACGCCACATTCTATATCTTCTAGCGTACATATACGTAAATGTATAGCTATTACGTA